TGGGACTCGATCCCAGGACTCTGGGATCATGACCTGAGCCGAAGGCAGTCGCTTAACCGACTGAGCCACCCAGGTGCCCCGGACATGCCATTTTTAATTTTTCTGGAAAACTTTGCCCTATTTGCCTGGCTAACACCAGTCCTGTTTTTTTGTTTGTTTGTTTTAAGGATTTTATTTATTTATTTGAGAGAGAGAGCATGAGTGGGGGGTGGGGGATAGGGGCAGAGGGAGAGGGAGAAGCAGACTCTGCTGAGCAGGGAGCCCGATGCGGGACTCGATCCCAGGACCCCGAGATCATGACCTGAGCCGACGGCAGCTGCTTAACGGACTGAGCCACCCAGGCGCCCCACCAGTACTTATCTCAGCTGAAGTATCACTTCTTCAGGGAGGCCTTTGTGGGTCCCTCCAAAAATAGATTAGGTGCTCCTATTTTGTGCACTTCTTTCCTTCAGAGCATTTATTTTAATTGTGGTTATATGTTATTTATGTGATTATTTGTTCAGGGTCAATCTCTTCACAGTAAGCTCTATGAGGGCAGGGGCCACGCTGGTCTTATTCACTGAAGTTTTCCCAATGAGCCAGGCACACAGAAGGCATTTCATAAATATTTGTTGCCTGGATGAATATATGACTTGAATTGATCTTGCCGGCATCTGCTTTTCTCCCGTCTCTGGACGGGGCTCCTCGTAGGAAGGCTGTGTGTGTCTCTCCTCAGAAGGAACTGAGGTCTGACTTCTGTGGGTCATCCTGCCTAAGTTGTCTAGTCAAGTGGAATTCAGGAAAACAGGTGTTTTTCTTCCTTTAAATACTGTATGTTTAAATTCCTAGCATTCATAGTTTCAAAATAAGAGGTATTAACAATTCACAAGTATCAGGAAAACTCATGGCATAAAGCAAGTTGCCGTTTTGCTGAGGCTCAAACTTGAGCTGCATGGCTGCGGCACTGGGGTGTGGTGGGATTGATTCTCTCAGCCAGAGAGTGTGAGCTTACCTGGCGGCCCAGCATCTATGCCCCCATGGGGCTGCTCTGCCTTCTTTGGAAATATTTACAAAGTATGGGGCTTCAGGATATACTTTTCCCCAAGGTCAAGGGTTTGTACAAAAGTAATTTAACCATGTACCGAGAGTTTAGAAAACAGGGAGTTGGAAATTCCTTAGAGTCTCACCTAATCTCACCCAGTGATTTCAGAGAACAATAATTCCTTCCAGTGTGTTTTCACTGCACATAGACTTTGGCAACAGACCTAAGTTTGAATCCTGGCTCCTCACTTACTTTTCTCTCAGCCTTTGTTTCCCCGTCTATAAAAAGGGGATGATACTCACCTTCCCCAGGTTATTGGATTATGTATGCCAGGGTGTGTGAATTTACCTAGTCTTTCTTCTTCTCTTCCCCCATGCTAAGATGTTCCCCTAAACAGAGGACAAGCTTGGGCTCCCCAACCTCTTCCCTTCTTCTCCTATCCGTGGAGCTGGACAACTCAGGCTGAGCCCAAATGCCTTCCACAATGTCCTCAGACCACTTGCAGAGGGCAGAGATGACTAAGGAGCCCTCACAGTAAAAAGCCTACTGACAAGGATACTGACCATGTCAGGGTGCCATTTAGCTGCCTTCTTTGGAGGACATTGTTTCCGAACTATTGGTTCTAAATATTTTTTCTCCTTCTTAACTCTTGGTCTCCAAAGAAAGTAGAGAGAATGTTAAGGATAAAATAGCACTGGAACACATCCCATTTATTCTTGGTCAATATACACTGGTCTAAGTTTTTCCTCTTCCTTGTTAGAAGCATAAAAATATTCTGGAATGAAAGTGGATCCATGTCCATCTTAAGTTACTATTGCCCCCAAGGCCCAGCTGTATTCCCTGGGAAGCAAAACAGAAGTAAACAAGGAGTGTTAAAGGTGAATTTTAAATAAAACCAGGCTGCTTTAATATTAAACTTTCTGCACGATCTCCAAAAGAACAATTATGTAAACCTTGATGAGGCTAAGTACAACATGGAATTTGCCTCTGAGGCTTTGTTCTGAGAAGGACATGTACCCTTCTTTGAGGGGGCTAAAAAATGCAAACTACACAACCATAAATGTCATGGCCTTGACAATGCCCTTTTAAGTTTTAGTTACAAGAGGCTGAAACATAAAGATCTCGTAGCCTACTCCTGGCTGGGCAAATAGGCAGGCTGAGATTCAACTAACATTGAGTGCTCACTATTTTTTCTCACATCGTTTAACAATCAGTCTCGAAAAGGTCTATAATACCATCCCCATTCCATAGAAGAAAATGAGGTTTAGAGACATAAAGTTAGCAGAGTAAGTGGTGGAGTTGGGATTCAAACCCAGACCTTCTGTTTTGTTTTGGTTTTGTTTGTTTTAAAGATTTTATTTATTTATTTGACAGAGAGAGAGATAGCGAGAGCAGGAACACAAGCAGGGGGAGTGGGAGAGAGAGAAGCAGGCTTCCCGCTGAGCAGGGAGCCCAATGTGGGACTCGATCCCAGGACTCTGGGATCATGACCTGAGCCGAAGGCAGACGCTTAACGACTGAGCCACCCAGGTGCCCCTCCAGACCTTCTGTCTTAAATTCAGTGCTGTTTTTTTCTCTACAATAGCTTCCCCAGTTCCAGGCCTGAGAGGGTACAAGGGCCATCGTACCTTCCCCAGTGACACTACTGAGCTAAAATCAACCTCAACATGATCGTGGCAAGTAAATATAAAATGTATATTATATAGGGGCGCCTGGGTAGGTCAGTCGTTAAGCGTCTGCCTTCGGCTCAGGTCATGATCCCAGGGTCCTGGAATGGAGCCCCGCATCAGGCTCCCTGCTCAGCGGGAAGCCTGCTTCTCCCTTTCCCACTCCCCCTGCTTGTGTTCCCTCTTTCACTGTGTCTCTCTCTGTCAAATAAATAAATAAAATCTTAAAAAAAAATGTATATTATATATAAATGTATATATTTACATATAGTTATATATAAATATGTACTGTCCCTCCTCACTGTTTGAGGATAAGTTGAACATTGTGCCCTTCTACCCCTCAATACTTCAATCTGGACTTTGTAAGACTGAGGACAATTATTTTCATAAGCCAGGATTGTTATCAAAAATAGGAAATTTAATATTAGTATAATACTATTATTTAATCTATTTAAATCTCACCAATCATCCCAATAACATACTTCATAGCTTCTTTGCCCTGGTTCAGGAGCCCATCCAGGATCATGTTTTGCATTTAGTATTAATGTGCTTTAGTTTCTTTCTAATCTGGAACAGTCTCTTGGTCTGTCTTTGTTTTTAAGACACTGGCACTTTTGAAGAGTACAAGTCAATTATTTTGTGAAAGGTCTCTTCGTGGGAATTTGTCTGATGCTTCCTTGTGATTAGATTCAGGTCATGGATTTTTGGCAAGAACACTACCTAAGTGATGACATGTCCTTCTCAGGGCATCACATTAAGAAGAATGTGTTTTCTCCCCTAAAAAGTTACTATCTTTTGGGGCACCTGGGTGGCTCAGTTGGTTAAGCACATGACTCTTAGTTTCAGCCCAGCTCATGATCTCAGGGTGTGGATGGAGCCCCACTTTGGCTCTGTGCTCAGCAGGAAGTCTGCTGAAGATTCTCTCTCTCTCCCTCTCTTTCCCTCTCCCGCTGCCGCTCCCCCTGCTCATGTGCACGCTCTCTCCCTCTCAAATAAATAAATAAATACATCTGTAAAAAAAAGTTACTATCTTTCCTTTTGGAATTAATAATTACATCAGTAATTGGGAACAAGGGCCTTAATAATATTTGGCTAATAAAATCATTCTCACTTGAAGCAGCTCTTCCATTATTACCCTCGTCGATATTCACTTCCTGAGTGTTAATTAGTCTAACTCTCCTGGATCCTCCTTGATCACTGGGTTTGCCTGGGACTTGAGCAAAGCCACTTTCACAGACTATAGAGCATCTTACAACTTCTGCAGGATGTATGCTTTTACCTTGCCACTGATTTGCTCTGGCTTTGTATCCTACTGACAGATGTTTACAATGTCCACAGTCAATGAGCAAGTGACCCAGCAAAGACTTGCAGTGACGGGCAGGGTAAGATGCCAGGGCTAATCAGGTCATTACAGAATACTCCTGGTATGATGACTGCTGCTTACCTGTCAACCTAATAACTGCAAGGACCACTATATTATCTGCCATAACGGAAACATGTGAATTCTTCTGATTTATAGCAGTGATTCCAAAGGTGTCATTCCTTGTTCCTTGTAGTTATAACCAAGGAACGACGCTTTACTTAGACTAACAAATTAGAATCCCCCATGTAACTCCAATTCATAACAGTGGCGATTGTGAGACTCCCATACAATCATCTTTGTGAACAAATGCTGCTTACCTCTTAACACATGCTGATAACTGGATAACAGGAACTGCAGGTGCTCAACCAGTTCGTCCCACGTCTGCCACTGGGTTTTATCCGACTGCGGAGAAGTGAAAGCAGTTGGTAGGAGGTGCCTTCTTCAGTTACATGCTCAAGGGTGAGGGGAAAGGTGTTCTAGGCCTGACCGAGGCAGGGAAGCATGTACCTGACACTTGAGCAGTGATGTGGAATTGTTCAGAAAGTAGAGGGCCTGGGCCAGAGACAAGGGCAGGCGGGTGGGCGTCTCACAGCTGTGGAGGAATATGATTTCTAACACTTTGCAGCGCAGAAGGTGGCTTTCCATGGTAGTAAAGAACATCTCCCTGCGTGGAGAAGAGAGAGAGGGTTAACCATCTCCACTATCACTTCAAGGAACACATACCACAATTCCCTCTGAAAGCTCTAACCTTTGCCCTAAAACAGAGGTGGCTAAGAAGGTATATGACAGAGGCCTACAAATGCACAAAGCTTGTGAACGAGGCAGAGGTGGGGTTGTTCATGAATTAACAACTGCCAGAAGGAGGGAAAAGTCTTTGATATTTGGAAAAGAAAAGTTTAGGACACATTAAAAAGATTAACTTCATATTGTAAGAGAATTAATACTGGGAATAAATATTTCTAAATGCCCACAATTTGCCAGACACTGTTTGGCACAGCAAAGAATATTAAGATAAATAAAAGAAGGCATTTCTCTCAAAAAGCTGACTGTTGACCAGAGGCAAAAGGTATGCAATGGGAACTGAAATAAAGTGTGGGGCCAGTGCACGTGTACGTGGGCTGCCCGTGGTGCTCCAGGGATACGCACGGGAGAGAGGACACTTGGTCAGGGGACTAGAAGGGGCCTTCTAACGGAGGAAGAGGCGCGGGACAGTGGTCTAGGAAGAGCAAAAAAGGCTCAAGGCAGGAGGCATTCCACCAGAGGGGAAAAACCTGGACAAAAAGAAAGAAGTAAAAAATACACAGCTGTGGGCATTGCAGCTTCTTAAACTTCAAGTCTAGGACTTGAGTCCCTCTCGGGGGACATGCCCTGGACTTTGTCACTTTACCCAGTGCAGGACTTGACCAGCAAAGGTGGGCTGCAGCATATTCAGAATCTCAGAGAGGGAGAGCTACAAAACTGCAGCTGTGCTTCGGGAAAGTTAATCAAGCTCATTGTTCTAGGGTCTTTTAATTTTTTTTTTCTTAAAGTAGGCTCCATGCCCAGCTTGGAGATTGAGCCCCCGACCCCAAGATCAACACCTGAGCTGAGATCAAGAGTCAGATGCCTAACCGACTGAGCCACCCAGGTGGCCCTCAGGCTCCTTGTTCTAAAAGCAATGTCAGCTTCCAAAAGAGTGTTATAAATCTCAGATGCACAGGGTGCATCTCTGGACTGCCCGAAGGTGTTAGCTTAAAGGTCTGTCTGTCAGTCCTTGTCAGGTCTGCTGGTCATAGCAGTTCCGGAAGCAGACACCTTGTGAGCACATAAAGAGGTACAGCAATGAGGAACACAGCTAGCCCTGATCCAAGAGGTTTTTCTCCTACAACATCTTGCCCCTTTGTAGTTTTGCAACATCTGGAAAAACAGGGGGTTCTTTGTGCCACTGCCATTTATAAAAATGATAAATCATAAAGTATCTATTCATTTTTATTTTCTTTTCTCCTTTTCCCTTTGCTTTTGCACCAGGCACATATATTATTTGTAGAAAAGCAAAGTTTATAAAGCAAAATGAATATTTTTAAACTTTCCCTCTTACCATTCAAAAGTTTTAAAAAGTCTACAATATTTATGAAAATCCATTTTATTTCTTTAATGAGTCGAAAATCATTGTATACCTTCTCTGACAAAATTTTCTTTTTCTTTCTTTTTAAGTAGGCTCCATGCCCAGTTGGAGCCCAACACAGGGCTTGAACTCACAACCCCAAGATCAAGCCCTGGACTGAGATCAAGAGTGGGATGCTTAACTGACTGAGCCACGCAGGTACCCCACAAATTTTCTTCTTTGATGCAAGGAACTCCAAAGGATTACATTTGCAAGATATTCCCCAAATTCTTTTTAAAGTCCAATTTCTAGGGGCACATGGGTGGCTCAGTCAGTTAAGCATCCGACTCTTGGTTTCAGCTCAGGTCATGATCTTGTGGGTTGTGGGATCGAGCCCCGCATCCAGCTCCATGCTCAGTGAGGAGTCTGCTTGAGATTCTCTCCCTCTCTTCCTATTTGTGCGTTCTTGCTCTCTTTCTCTCTCCCAATCTCTTTCTTTAAGAAAAAGTCCAATTTTAGGGATGCCTGGGTGGCTCAGTCAGTTAAGTGTCTGCCTTTGGCTCAGGTCATGATCCCAGGGTCCTGGGATCTAGTCCCACATTGGGCTCCCTGCTCAGCGGGGAGTCTGCTTCTCCCTCTCCCCCCTCTTTGTGCTCTCTCTCTCTCAAATGAATAAATAAAATCTTTAAAAAAAAGAGTCCAATTTCTACTCTGTATTTGGCCTATTTCTCTCACAAGACAGTTTTTCTATTCAATAACCTTTTATTTCAAACTGCATTTTCTCTTCTAATTTTGTTTCCAGGGCCTGTGTTTGTCTTGGTTTTATAATCCACAGGTGGCATACTCAGAGATATAAAAAGGACAAAAAGGTAATTTTAATGCATTGGCCATAGCAGGAAATGGAGGTACAAAATCTATAGCAATTCAAATTTGAATTTCAAAAATAAGATATAGAGGAAGGCCAACATCCAGATTCATAGAATACCTGGTATTGGACTTACCCTCCTGTCATAAACAATTATAAAACTGGAGAAATATATGCAATAATCATTTTCAGGCATTGGACGAGCTGCTTCAAAGTACTGTTATTCTTAAAAGAAGGGAAACAAAAGTGACAAACCCCACATTTATCCCAAATTTCTTATGGGGGTACTTTCTAAGGCAGAGGAAAGTGTGGGTCCCAAACACAAAGCAGTGGGCTTGCTGGGCAGAGCAAAAAGAGACTGATGGTTAAGACAGCTGAAGTGGCTGGAATTTGTATTGGAGGAGGAGGAGCTCAAGAAATGTGTGTAAAGGGGGCCCTGGCACATGTGCAGGAAGAAGCTCAAAAGCCTGAGAGAGAACAGCAACTGGAGCGGAGATTCTGGAGATCTCCCAGCGCTGAGATACTGGGGTTTCAATGAGCCACAGTGGAGAGACTTCAACTGAACATCTTGGGCCTTCAGTTGAGACCCCAAAAGGACTAAGCCTCAAGACTCAAGCCCTTTAATAAGGGCTGCTTTAGAACCACCCTTACAAGTCCTAGAAACAAGCCTCAACAGGATAAAGCTAATCTGCCAGTAAATCAGTCGCCTGCCAGAATAAAACTCACTACTCTTTAAAAAAACAGGCAGCAAACCAGACCTTCAACAACACAGCATTTATAACGTCCAGCATACAACAAAAAATTATTAGTCAAGGGAAAAAGCAGGAAAATATGACCCATAGCCAGGAGCAAAATGTCCAGAGAAACAAACAAACAATATCCAGAGATGTTGGAATTAGTAGACAAGGCCTTTAGAACAGCTATTATAAATATGTTCATGATTAACCAACCAACCAACAGACCAAGATGTATATAATGAGTGACTAGGTGGGGACTATTAGCAAAGAGAAACGGAAACTATAAAAATGAACCAAATGGAAACTCCAGATCTGAAAAATACAATATCTGAAATGGAAAAAAAAAAAAAAAAATCACTGGATAGGCTTAACAGCACCCTGGGCATTCTGAAAGAGAAGATCAGGAATCCTGAAGACTATCCACACTGAAGCAGAGGAAAAAAAAATCAAAACAAAGCAAAACAACAATAGAAAACATCAGAACCTTAGTGATCTGTGGAACAGTGTCAAGCAATCCAACATACATGTAACTTGAATCCCCAAAATAAGTTAAGAGTTTGCGGCAAGAGCGCCTGGATGGCTCGGTCATTAAGTGTCTGCCTTCGGCTCAGGTCATGGTCCTAGGGTCCTGGGATCGAGCCCCGCATCGGGCTCCCTGCTCCGCGGGAAGCCTGCTTCTCCCTCTCCCACTCCCCCTGCTTGTGTTCCCTCTCTCGCTGTGTCTCTTTCTGTCAAATAAATAAATAAAATCTTAAAAAAAAAAAAAAGAGTTTGCGGCAAAAAAAATTCTGGCCAAAATTTGATGAAAAATATCAACTCACAGATTTAAGAAACTCAATAAACCCCAAGCAGGATAAATGTACAGAAAATTACATGTAGGTATCATAATCAAATTGCTAAAAATCAAAAATAAAGCAGCCAGAGAAAAAAGACATATGACATATAGGGGAACAACAGTAAGATATTCTAATAACTTCTCATTAGCAAGTCAGGAGAAAATGGAACATATTTAAAATAAATAAAGAAAAAAATACCTATCAACCTAGAATTTACATCAAGTAAAAACACCATTGCTAAATGAAGATGACATAAAAACATTTCCAGATAAAAGCTGAGAGAATTTATTACAAGGAGACCTGCACTACAAAAAATACTTTAAAAAGTAAGTTCTTTGGGTGGACAAGAAATGACACCAAATGGAACTTGAATCTTCAAGAAAGAAGGAACACCAGAAATGGTAACTCTGTGGGTCCCACGTATTTTTTTTTTTTTAAGATTTTATTTATTTGACAGAGAGAGACAGTGAGAGAGGGAACACAGCGAGAGAGAGAACACAAGCAGGGGGAGTGGGAGAGGGAGAAGCAGGCTTCCCACACAGCGGGGAGCCTGACGTAGGGCTCGATCCCAGGACCCTAGGATCATCACCCAAGCTGAAGGCAGACACTTAACAACTGAGCCACCCGGGCGCCCCACCCCACGTATGTTTTTTTGTGACACCACCAGGCAATTAACTCAATTCCGGCACTCTCTACCTGAAGATAGCATCAGATCCCAGAGGTTATGGGCTTGGTCCTATGAGACTCCCTCCACCCTCACTTAAGATGCCACTCTCACGTCCAGATTGTCACCTGTGTTTCTGGATGACTGGCTGTAGATCAGAGGTTCCCAGGTCTCCCTCCTCAGGTTCAATTAATTTGCTAGAGCAGCTCACAAAACTCAAAAAAAATTTTACTTACTAGTTTACCAGTTTCTTATAAAGGGATATAACTCAGGGACAGCCAGATGGAAGAGATGCATAGGGCAAGGTATGTGGGAAAGGGTGAAAAGCTTCCAAGGTCTCTGGGGCTGTCATTCTCCTGGTATCTTCCTGTGTTCACCATTCTGTAAGCTTTCTGAGCCCTGTCCTCTTGGGTTTTTACGGAGGCTTCGTTAGATAGGCGTGATGGATTAAATCACTGACCATTTGTAATTAAACTCAA